TAAACGTCTGTGGATTTTCGGTCAAGTGAAAAGTGTGAGTCTCCATTTTATTTTATTTGCGTTTAAACAATGTCAATTTCGAGTAAAATTTTACCGTCATTGTTGTTGACTACCTCTTGCCGTTTGTTTCTCAACGAAAATGAAAAACTCATTATTCACTTATTTACGAGTAATTTAACACTTTTGCTCAGGTCTGACGTGGTACACAATGTGTACGAAGGTCGCCCGGTAAAGTAATTAAAATGGTCGTTTATTTCTCGGCAGTGTATTCAAAGCTCGTCAAAAGGATTTGTATTTATCTTCCCTTTATAAATAACATTTGGCACAAGCCTACCTCTTGGCAGATTTAAAAGTTTGCTGACTTCTTTACTCAACTTTAATCTGAGATTTAAATCAGTTATCATTATCGTTACCAAATTTGACTTTTCGTGAACTTTAAAACTCACACTTGGAATGGCGTTTAAAATAAAATCAAACCAATCCACATTGTAAAACCCCGGAGGAATAATTACATTTTCCTGTTCACCACCTTGTAAAAAATCCGTGGGTGTTTGTCTTTTGTGCAATCGATGCATCACCGGAGTGTTTGAACCAGAAGCCGTGATTAAAAGAGTGGGCCTGGGTTCGGTTTGAGCGGCTCTGATGGTTCTCGTTCTTTCTTCGTTGTCGTCGCGTAAAAATCCCTCTTGAATAAATTCTAAAGCAATGCGGCAAGCTTCTTTGTAAGTATCGACTTGGCCTCGAGTTAAAAGTATTAAATAAATTAACATGTTTTCTTTCTCTTCCTCTGATATTGAACTTAATCCCGAACGTTTATTTGTCTAAAAATGGTACTATCAGTTCAAGTGCTTCTATAATATCCGTGTTAATAACAGATATTGGTGAGTATTGCTAGTCTAACTCCATTGGGAGCTCTTTCTGCGGGCTTTCCTTCTATTTGAGTTTGCCATTCGATTTCGGTGGATTTTGTAATGTTGAAGTTACCCAGGCGAAAGCTTACTTTTCTGATTTATTTTTTTGTCACCTTTTAAATTGTCGATTTGATTTTCTAATTTAAACATCTGGTCGCTTTTGGTTAAGTAAAACGTGTGAGTCTCCATTTTATTATATACATTTTGAAAAATCTTGTTTGGCAAGGTTTAATTTGTCAAGGGCATTTTTTCAGTGCTTATCCGAAACTTGAAACAAATCTTTTACTTTTAAATCGTCGTCCCGGGTTGCCTCTTGATAACATACTGCGATTAAAGCTTTCAACGGTTTACCTCTAGAGATCTTACCATCTAAAATTCGGTTTAACACGTATTCTATGTGGCCCGATTGTTCACTGGGCAATTCAATGTTTAACTCTTTCAAAGTCTTTCTCGATTTTGGTGGTAGTGGTTTTTTCCAAATGTAACGCTGGTGATATTTACCTCCCACGTTTTCTGGGGTGTATGAAGGAACCCAACCAAACACTAAACCACAATGTCGGCATGCATATCTTTCGTCTATTTCCATTATGTAGTGTTGGCAGGTGTTTTTGGGTGGTGACCTTGGTGGCAGCGGTTCGGGTGTTATGCCAAGAAGTTGGTAAATCTCTGATGGGTACTTATATCTCACGGCTTGACTTGACATGTTTTTATATTTATTTAAAGTCTATTTATTTATAGTAGTGAAGACTCACGATTAGAGTCCAGAAAATGTCCAAAGTTATCGTCAAATTCTCTAAAACATTGCTGATTAAACCCGTTTGGGGATTTAGGTGGTAGTTCTACTTCTACTTCTCCTCCATAGTCAATTACTAAGCCAAGTTTGACTGCTTAGTCTTCTAAATCAGTTTCGGGCTTATAGTCATAAGGTTTTCTTGGTCTCATCTTATAGTAGTGACCAATGTGAGAATCTTTGTTAGATTCAAACGCTAAATATGACTTGCCTATTAAATTTTCACAGTCAATACAACAATAGCAAAAGTCGCAGTTTGTGCAATTGATACAGAGTTGGCAATCCTCACAATTTACACAATACTTACACCCTACACAATTTTGACATTCTTCACATCCAGTACAATTTTTGCAGTCTATACAGTCATCATTGGGCAATTCTTCGGGTACGTATTCAACAACGTGTGTTTCTTCTTCTTTGGTTCTGTCAATCATTAAACCTAATTTTCCAAGTCTTTGTCTAAGTCTGTTTTTACTATGGGCAAAGAGTCGTTTGCCATAATTAGTTTTAGTTTTTTAAAAGTGCCATTTATATATGGCGTAAAATCCAATTTTTCCATACCTGTACCATTGATACAATAAATACAATCAATACAATCGACACAATTGATACAACTTTCATAAGACTCACATTTCCAAGAACTATGGCATTCCTTACAAGATTTACAATTATAGCAATTGGTACATCCTTCGCATTTTGTACAATCTTTACAGTCCTGGCACGAATAAATTTGACAACAGTCTGAACATTGTTTGAATCGATGCTATCTATTACGTTAACAGACGCTTTTATCGTTTTCCCAAAAGTGGCAATTGACGTCTTGTTTTTTCATCTCTGTTTTTATATTAGTTTTAAAAATATTTTTTTCATTTTTTCTCAAATCTTCGTTGTTTTCCATCTCTAATTTTTATAGATCTTCAAAATAAATCTCATTTTTTCTCAAGTCTTTGTTGTTTTTCCATCTCTAATTTTTCTAGATCTTCAAACTCATCTTCTGACCCAAAACCACTAAATGCTTGTAACACAGATTTATTTGAAATAAGACCGTCTTTTCTAATTTTTAACATAGCCACTGATACTTTATACCTAACACTGGCACCGCATGACATTGAACCATGAGTACCATAGTATACGTCTTTTGGACAAATAAAAGATTGTGCATCGCATTTCTTATCGGTAAATTGCTCAATGTTTGACGAGTTAATGGGTCTTTTTTGGTGATCAAATAGAGAAGCATGGGGGTCTATTTTAACGTACATTTGGTTCTTGGCCGTGTAAGGTGGTTTAACGACATACTCTATTTTATTAAGGTTATCGATGTCACGACTGGCTTCGGAGGCGTTTATGGTATTAGACGGGATGTTAGACCGTACACCGACTTGAGATTTGATAAACCTGTAAACAGCTAAATTTATGTGATCGAGAATGTTTGCTGTAGGTTGCTGTATTTGGTAGCAGATTTGTTGGTCCTTTATATTTTTTAGGGGTTTTGTCTCTAGTACCGTAGTTATACAGTGGGTTTATGCCGGTTCGATTGTCATAATTAACAGGCTTTTTTCGCGGCCGTTGTGGTAATAAAAAATAGACGAGCTGCATATGGTTGCATGTTTGTTGTCTTTAATCACAGGTTTTGAAATAATCAATTTACTCGGGTCAAAAGGACCAAAGGTGACGTTGGGGTCACAGTTTTCGCTGAACGGATGCTGAACCGACTAATTCCTTACTACTCAGCACACATCTATAATGTGGCACAGCTCTGCTTCCTTATCTAGAGTGACAATATCCGGCTGCTTGTGTTCAGTCTGAAGTCCCAAAGAACTTATAACACCTCCTTTTCAAGTACTTTTATGGAACATGCTCCCGCCACTTGTCCTTGACTTTGATCCCACTTTTCTGACACACATCCCAGTAGATCAGCCTGGCTGACTTGTTGTACTTCCCTTTGTATTTATTCTGGACCATCTTGCTGAATTCACAAACCAAATGGAACACAGTCTCCTCTTTCTTCCCACACATCGTGCACATTGGAGATAATGTTGGCTCCCTCTATTACCTGGGCTTCATCATGTTCATTCGATCCTGTGCAGCAGAGATCAAACTCTCTGTTGGGTTCTTCGAGTCGCTTCTCTTTGCCTGCCCCCCGTCCCATGTCCCTCCAAAATTTCCCATAGAGTGGCTTCCCTTCCTAATCTCTAAACCTTTCCTCTTTCCTTTCTGCCTGATGTGCATTGGCGTCCACTTCCTTTCCCTTGGCATATTTCTGAGCCATCCTAATCAATCCATGCTGCTCCATATGTTGCCAGTGTCTGTCATGCTCATCATTCTCCGTCCACCAATTGTGGGCCAAGTGTAGCCTGCTGTTCTTAGTCCTCAGATGCAGCATACCATGCATTGTCATCCATTTCCTCATCTTCAGGTCACTCTGACTCCGCCTTAGCTTAGTTAACAATCCCTGCATTGTGCCTCATCAGTGACACAGCTCGGGTATTGATCACCTTCACCATATTGCCCCCATTCAGCTTCAACTTAAACACTTCTTCACCCTCCCCATGTACTCCTTGCTTAGCCTATCCTTCACTTTATCCTGCATCATGCAATCCACCTCTAATACACTAAGACACTTGTATATTCATTTGTCCAAAATGACTTCAGGAGCGATCCATCAGGCAGTAGAATGCTGTCAGAATCCACCCACTTTCCCTGTATTTCATGTGGAAATCGAACAAGAATACAAAAGTGTGGATCTGAATCGAAAATATGGAGTTTTGAAAAGCAGATAGTGGCATAGTACACAGTAGTGACAAGCTTGCTATAGACTGAGTGCCGGCACTATGCAATTCGATCCCAACAGAAACCAATCACATTTGCAGTACACGTAAGGAGCCAGAATTTTGCTCACTCAAATTGTCTACAGTGACCTGGCAATGCACTTTGCATGGCAGCCCTGCCTAACGTCTAACAGGGTGAGCATGGTAATTCATTAGCACTGTGTGGTGTGTACCAGCGTGCTGTGCATACCTTGCTTGTTTGAGTAACGTGTAAAGGTGTAAACTACCAGTTGGGAGTAACATAGCATACTCTGACGGTGTCGTGCAGCAAAATACTAATTTCTTTAGCTGCATACTGATTTTCAGCCTTCTGAATACTGAAAAGCTGTGTTAAAGGTTGGCATCTCTGGTCAAACCAATGGCAGTTACATGCAGTTGAATCAAGTAAAGTGTTAATGTGAATCAGTGTACTTCTGCCAAAGTTGACAACTAAATAACATTTGGTATCTGTAATATTTTTCTCATTTGAAGGTGCCGGAAATTACGTGTTGCATTAGATGCTCTAAGAGTGTACGAGAAGGATGCCCTTGTGCAACCAACACAGGCAGAGGTTATCATTCATGCATTAACTCGATCAAACTCAAAGATGAGCTCCAGAAGTGAGTACAGTATGAAATATGCTTGTTTGTCTTTTTCAGCAAACTTATGTATAGAGTCCGACATTTAACTTCATGCTGTTTTCTAATTAAGTTATTACAAATAATTTAATCATTTGCTTTTTGATCATAGGTGAATGGGCTCAACCCTATAACCTGTTGATTCATTAATTACAAGTTCTTTTATTGGGCTCGGCTGGCATTTCCTATTTGTTCTCTATGAATATATATATTAACCCAGACCACCATAGCCAAAGAATTATACAACAAATCAGATACAGTTCATAAAACAGGCATTATTTTGCACAAATAACACATGTAGGTTCCTACATAGAAACTCAGTGACATCTTCAAATTGATAATATCCCTGCAGCCGATTTCATGAAACATGGCATAATATTGAACCATACGTAAGTCATGCACCACAAATTTATGCTTTAGCTGCACAACTACTTATGTTTGATTTCATGAGAAGTTGTGTAGTTGTGCCACATTTTGATGATATTAACCACTTGGTGGCAGGGTTTCCGGTACTGGACTCCTTAGGTTTATTTGCATAGCCAGGCTGGCCGAAATCGGACAAAAGAGCTGAGCCTTGTAACAAGAGACTGTACTTGGAACAAAAGACTGAGCTGCTGGGAATTGCCAGATTTTTTTCAGTTGTCAATAATTATACCACTTTTTGTGGCATTCAGCGCAAGCGGATTACCTCCGGGGACAAAAGTGCTCCAGGAATGAGTGATACAAGATGTCAGCAGCACACTGGGCCAGTTTCGGGAACAAAAGAAAATTACGTATCACCATGCATTCTGGGCTCTCTTTACAAGGTGGCAGGCCTGGCTGAAATACTCGGACGACAATAAATATTTTCTTTCAGATTAGAGTAGCCACCAGACAGTCATTTAACTGTGTGGGTGTAAACATCCAGTAAATTAAGTTATGATTTTTTGAAGATTTTTGAAAATGGAATACCTTGAAAATGCCCAGGTATACGTCATGCTATTTCAACTTAAACATGGCAGCATATGGTTAAACTTCTGGGCGAGGACAAACCTGGCTTTTATGACAGCTGTTCCTTTCCAATATAACAACAGCCATCAAACAGTCATTGAATCACCTCTGCCCGCCATTTTGAAAGAGTGTTTGTCTTTTCTTCATTGGAATTGGACAGAAAATTTCACAGTTCTCTCACAGCTAAACAAGTTTTTCATTACCCTATAAAGACAAAGCTGCATGTCTCAATTAAGCCCTGTTTAATTCAGCAGTGATGAGGCTTAATTGAATGCGATAAGCTGTTAATTTGTTTTGTAAGTGGCAGATTATGCAGTGCATGAGTTTTCTTAAGTTGATCTCAACTCACATGTACGTAATAAAATGTGTCGTAAGCGGAGTTTGGTTTCGTCTGATATCTCAGGTTCTGTAGAACCTAATTACAGCTCTCTGACCTCTGTATCTTTATCATGAAAAGTTTATTAGCTTTTCAGCAAGCCCTTTCCTGATACAACAAATGGCAGATTGTTGTTAGGGACTTGTCAATTCTGACTTGTGATTGATCCATACCATACCACATGATCATTACACATGCTCAGTTGACCTGCCCAGGAATTCGCGCTAGCGTTGTGCGTCTTGTGGCTGCCGCTGTTTTGGTGCACGACAGTGAGTATCGGAGGGTAACTTGTGCACATTTTTGCATTCTGATATAGCAATTGTGATGCTTTTGACAGGTTTGTAGTTATCGTGTTGCTGATTTTGGCTTGTTTTCACTTTGCATCCCATGAGATGTGGTCATTTCGGTGGTCAGATCACATGATCGAAGCCCTAAACGAGGCAAACATTTTGGGGTGTAGCGAGCACGACGATGCTGTACTTGTTGAATTGGTGCAGGACTATTTCGGTAGGGATGTACAGTCTGATGACGCTTCTGATGACAGCGAGGTTTCAGATTTATAATATGTAGGCAAAAATTAAAAGCTCATTATCTATGCAAAACAGTTTAATTAAACACTGAAATTTCACTCAAATGTCAACTGAATGTGTTTTAATGTGTCAGAGAAGTTTCTGTTTGATCAAAGGCAACATTGTGGTTGCTGTGTTGTAAAACTGGCCAATGCATTGAGATTATACATGTAGTTTACACAGTTAATTGACTTTGAGCTTCATTTTTTCGCAGTGAAAGGTTATGACTCTATAACTCTCAAGTGCTCTAGTGCGGGCTAGGAATAAGCTACAGCAAGAAACAATACATCAAAATGAAGCTTATAACCTATATTTTCAGGAAATACAACAATCTCAATTTTAAATTTTTGCAAATTTGAACCCATCTCATGTTGCCAGGCCACATTTAAAATAGGCTTAATCGGTTTTCACTGTTAATTAGGCACCATCGATACCGTATTTTGGCTGATACCGATATGTTGTTTCTGTTTATATTGATGTTATCGATATATCAAATTTTATTCATTTTAATTTTCAAGGTATTATTATTGTAGCCTCCGCATTGTTTACGTTGCCTACATGGGATGGGATACACGCTGTTGTGCTTAGCGATATCATCAACATGTGGTGCTAGTCTATGTAGGTTTGGTTAGCAAATAATTGCCTGTTTTCGAGGATAAATTCTGTGATATTTTCAAGGCAAGGTGTACGTGAATTATTGAGTGTGAGACTGAGATAGGTGACTGAATTTATTCTTTAAATGTCGCCGTATAAGCTGCCTGGAGTATAAGCTACAGGGACATTTTTCAGTCATTGTAAGAACCAATGTAAGCTGTGGTTTATCAAAAATTATGGTAATGTGACAATGCACTGTGGTATTTTTCAATAAAGTTCATTCCTCAGTAGCGATATTTTCGATATATTTTTCATTATCAATGTTTTTAAAGTTTTGATACTTCAGATATTTCTCCAAAATCTGAAATTTTTGCTATATTGATATTACCAAATAACTAACATCGGCGATATTGATATCAAACCCGTATCAATAATATCAATTTATCAATATATCGACGGTGCTTACTGTTAATAATTACCGGTTTTTGGCACATGAGCAATCTGGATTCAGATCACAACACTCGACTCAATTAACTGTAGTTGATGTTTAAAGTTTTTTTAATGAAAGAAATTGATTCTGGTAAATTTATGGGTTCTGTTTTCCTTGATTTATCTAAGGTATTGACAATGAATCATAATACAGAGAACCTGAATAATTCCTGGTACGTAGACCCATCCGTATGGAAACAAGATTGTCCAGTACTCACTGGAGCCAGAGAGATACAGTATGTTGCCTAAGGATAAATACCAACCACATAAAGCTTGAATCATTCCAGCTCTAGTTTTTGAGAGTAGGATCAAGCCATTTTTCATCTTCCGATCCATGGGACAGTAGGCCCCTGTCTTAGATCATGAAGCAACTAGTCTACAGTGCTCTACCTACCCAAACAGTCTCTACATGTATGTATGCAAATTTCCCATGTGCCTATTATTATTCACTGAAAAGATTTCACCCTGACCTCCCACAATGCCAAGCGGTCTTGCCGCCATGATCATCCTTTTCTTAGCGCCGTAATGTAATGGACGTGTCTTTCAAGGCAGCTTCAATTTATCAAGCTTCCATTTTCACTACACGGTTTTGTGTCAATTTGATCACCTTATAAAGTATTACCTTGATTTTCATCCATTTATTGGTAAGAGTGATCTTTTCATGTATATTTTGTGTTCTTTTCTTTAGTTTTTCGTTTTTTATGTGCACCCTGCAGGTGTTCACCCTCGGTACCATGAGGTTTGTTCCAGCTAGGCCTGTGTCTACCCACCAATAAATTACAAGCCTTAGCTGGTTGAATTTATGGGGTCGCCAGTGTTCTCCATGATGGGTTTTAGTAGGGCAGGCCACCCTGCAAAAAGTTTATCTAAATGCAAAGAAGTTTACTGCCCTTTATGGAACAAACTTGATGAGTCTGCCATCATTATTCAGCACAACAGAAGAGCATTTTGCACCATTAGTGATCAAAGCTAGACACAGTATGCATGTGGTACGAAAGCACAAAAATGGACTAGTTCCAATCTCCCGTTCATAGCATTTTCATTTTGTAGTATCAAACACGATGTGGATAAACTTTGGTGGATAAACTTTGGTGCCATGTTCGTGCCCTGAAGTGATACCCGACTAAAATGATAGTATGAGAGAGATGATAACCCTGTCATTTATCACTATCACAAGACCACACCATCCAGCAACGTCAGTCACTCTTGCCCACTGGACGGCTTCGGCCATTAGATTTGCTAATCCAGTCTGGCTGTCAAGCTCAAATGAACATAGTCAACACTACATCAGGATTTGCATCTTGGCCTTACTCTCGAAGTGGGTTCCATTGCAGACATCTGCGAAGCTGCATGTTGGAAGTCTCTTACCTCCTGCAACTTGAGGGATGTCCTGCAGAGCGACATCGCAAATGGCAGGACAATCCTACTGTCCGCAGTGCAGAGGTTGAAGGAATCTCCTGTGGGACGGACGACAAGTCATTATGAAGTTGCTTTACTATTTCCTAAATTTATACATTCGTCTTAACCCTTCTCCTCTCTGAGGGAGTCCACAGGAAGGGGCGTGGTTCTAGACCAGTAGTACTCGCTGGGGGCATAGCGAACAAACTCCAGATATTCCAGGGAGCGAGGAAGCCCTTCTTCTGGACCCAAAATGTATGTAGCAGGATTAAAATGTTTTTTGTCAGGCGCCTGTGTGGGGAGCAACCAGGAAATCACCGCACTCTTGTCACCATGTTGATCTTGAAGAAGCCCTCGGATCTGTGCATAGTAAATACCGCCCTCATTATCTAAGATTGACACAGTGTCACCTGCTTGCAAGCAGACACCATGATGGAACATACTGTTACTTGTTACAACAGTGGCATTGGCTTCTGGAGCTTTCATGGAATGTCTTTTAATAATGATCCTCCTGTTTTCCCCCTTGGTGGCCTGTGACTTGGGGGTATTAACAATCTGTCATGTCT